CTGCTGCTGCTGCTGCTGCTGCTGCAGCTGCTGCAGCTGCTTGGCCACAGCAACTGCTTCCAGCAGCGCCTTGTGCTGCTGCTGCAGTGTCTGCAGGTCATATTTCTTCGCGCCGCCGCCGCCGCCGCCGCCGCCGCCGCCGCTGCTGCTGCTGCTGCTGCTGCTGCTGCTGCTGCTGCTGCTGCTGCTGCTGCAGTCGAAGACGCAAACAGCATCAGCTTGGTGGAAAACTGGAAAGTGAGTTTTGTCAGTTTTGTCTCTTCTGCAAACAGCGCAGCACCAAATGGCCCGGCGGAGGCCCAAAGCCAGCAGCTGCAGCTGGTGGGCCGTCCCGTGCGTCCGCAGCAGCAGCAGGTCCCCGCTGCTGCTGCTGCTGCTGCTGCTGCTGCTGCTGCTGCTGCTGCTGCTGCTGGGCGCGCTGCTGCTGCGGCTGCCGCTGCTGCTGACGCTGTCCGCGGGACTGCTGCTGCGCGCCGCGGCGGGGCTGCTGCCGCACGTCGCCGTGTCTCCGCTGCTGCTGCTGCTGCCGCTGCTGCTGCTGCTGCTGCTGCTGCTGCTGCTGCTGCTGCTGCCAAGGGCAGCTAGCTGCTGGTGCGTCAGGCGAAATGAAGGGTCCAAATAAAAAGTGTCTGCTGTGCTGCGGCTGCTGTGGTCAGCAGCAATTAAGAGAGAGTCGAAGTTGCTGCTGCTGGAGACTACAGGAGACAAGTTGTCTACGTAGAAGAAGGCGTCTTGCTGCTGCTGCTGCTGCTGCTGCTGCTGCAGCTGCAGCTGGTGCAGCAGCACCCGGTGCTGCAGCTGCCGCTGCTGCTGCTGCTGTTGCTGCTGCGTTTGCTGCGGCGGCGGCTCCCCCTGCTGCTCCCGCTGCTCCTGCTGCAGCCGCTGCAGCAAGAGCAACGCTTGCTGCTGCTGCTGCTCCTGCTGCTGCTGCACCTTCCGCCGCAGCAGCGGGTCCACTCTGGGCACTTCCGGCGAAAACAAGGACTGCTGCTGCTGCTGCTGCTGCTGCTGCTGCTGCTGGAAGAAGCAGCGCAGCAGCAGCGCAACAATCCCCACAGGATTCGTGGGGGTTAAGTGGAGTCCCCGCAGCAGCCCTGTCCATACACTTGAGGGGATGTGGGGTGGTTTGGGCGGCAAACCCCACAACGCGCTTAAGTATGGAGAAACTGCTGCTGCTGCTGCTTCTTCTTCTTCTGCTGCTGCTGCTGCTGCTGTTCCTGCTGCTGCTGCTGGTGTTCCTGCTGCTGCTGCTGCTGCTGGGTCTGGGGGCCCGCAGGCAGCACCCAGGGGGCCCCCGGGAGCCCCAGGCAGCAACGCGTCGTGGGGCCCCCCAGCCGAGGCTGGCCATTCTAAACCCTAAACCCTAAACCCTAAACCCTAAACCCTAAACCCTAAACCCTAAACCCTAAGGTTTTTGTCCCGCATTTGGGACTTAATTGAAATAGAATTGAAGTATTTAAAAAGAAAAGAGCAACAGCAAAAAGAAAGATTACTTCAAACCCTTTTAGGGGGCCCCCGCCTCCGGGGGCCCCCGGGGCCCGAGTGCAGCAGCCCCAACTTAATTTCAAATATAATTTATTTATTTATTTATTTATTTATTTATTTATTTATTACTTTTAATTTATATTTATTATTTATTTGCAAATAACAGCAGCAGCAGCAGCAGCTGCTGCTGCTGCTGCTGCAGCAGCTGCAGCAGCAGCAGGAGCGGCGGTGTCCGTACACCCGAAGCTGCTGAAGGCAACAGATGAGCCAATAGAATAAATGCCAAATAAAAAATAAATAAAATAAATAAATAAATAAATAAATAAATAAATAAATAATTAAATAAAAATAAATAAATAATAATAAATAATAAATAATATTTGTCAATCATTTGAAGGAATAAATATTTCCTTTGTGGAGAGAGAGCAGCATGAGGGAGACAGAGCAGCAGCAGCTGCAGCAACAGCTGCAGCAACAGCTGCAGCAACAGCTGTAGCAGCAGCTGCAGCAGCAGCTGCAGCAACAGCTGCAGCAACTGTAGCAGTAGCTCCATCGCCAGCCGCAGCACCAGCAGCAGCAACCGGCTGAGTAGCAGCGACAGCAGCAGCAACAGCAGCAGCAACAGCAGCACGAAAGCTGTAGCACCAGCAGCAGCAACAGCAGCAGCAACAGCAGCAGCAGCAGCTGCTGCTGCTGCTGCTTCAGGCTTTGTGTCTCCTGTGTCACTTCGTTTGCTTCCTGTGTCTCCCCTGTAATCTTCAGCAGCAAATAAATCTTCAGCAGCAAATAAATCTTCAGCAGCAAATAAATCTTCAGCAGCAAATAAATCTTTAGCAGCAAATGCATTTAAATTGCTTTTATTTAAATTGTTAATAGTGAGAAAAGCCCACAAACAAATAGGCCTGAGCCAAGGTCCAGGCTGCTGCTGCAGCTGCTGCTGCTGCTGCTGCTGCAGCTGCTGCTGCAGCTGCTGCTGCAGCTGCTGCTGCTGCTGCTGCTGCAGCTGCTGCTGCAG